GACTTCACTGAAGTTTAGAATCGAAAGATGGAGGCTCTGCGTATGTTCTGTCCCTGAGATACACAAGGATAGGATGGGCTGAGTGGTCTCCACCCAGCAAGGTGTCGGATGAGACAGACTCTTTCATTTTTAGTGGTTGGTTGTACCCTTATTTCAAAAGACATTATCAACACATCTTTAGGAAAACCTAATTATCGCTGTCTGGTGTCCACAGGGATGTGGGGAATTAAGAGTTAGCTGGTGTGTCTACCCATGGGTCTGAGGGTTAAAGAGAGAAGAGTTCTCAGGAGTGTTGAATGACTGCCCAATTTTAAGGTGAATCCTCGGGCAAAGCTGTGAGAGCCAGGCCCCCCTCCCATGCTGACGTTCTCGCTCCACAGCCTCTCTTGGAGCCTCAGCGATTACGTTCTCTGCCTTACTGACCCGACAAAGATTTGCTGTAAGATTTAGCTAGGCTTCACCTTTGTGTAACTTTTCTGGGCCACCAGCCTTCTCCAGACAGAGCTGGTAGCTACTTCTTCCTCTCTGCTCTCCATGCTTTTGGATATGGTAGCTCTGTTGTTTAAAAAACAGACAGATGATAAATAGAGAGAGAAATGCATAGATAGATACATAAAACCTACATAAATATAGATATCCACTGGACTATGAACTCTTACAGAAAGAAGATTCTTTCTTGGTGATATTTTTACTCCTGACTCAAAAAATGATTGTTAAATGAATGAACACATGAATTCAAGAGGCGATTTGGAAGCAAAGAATCAAAGATGAGTGAAATTTCCTTCATAAAATTTCCCCCACACCTACTTTAGATATGACAATCGTTCTTAAATCCTCCCTTGCAGCTTTCCTCACAAATAAAATTAGTTTCAGTGGTCCTGAGGGCAAATTTTCCTAGGTGCATCCCATAGAGCCGAGCACGACTGGACACAGCAAATGAACACAGCTCCCCTCGCCACACCCTGTGACGGCACCCGTAACGTGGTGCCTTCTCCTTCATCTACGTTTTCCTTCCACGTTCCTTAAAATAAGTGGACCATAATATGAATTAATCACTTTCCAAATTTTTTGTCCCTAAAAAAATTAAAAGTATGGATTTAATTAGAAAGAACAAAAGAGAAAAGAAAAAATTTTCTCATTCTTTCAGAAGTTGAATATGACTTGAGAATTCCTTATACTCAAATGCCATATGCAGAAAAGTCGTTCCTTCAGGACTAGAGTTCTGTACCCTCTGAATCAGGTTAGGACTAACTGCTAGTGTTTTCTCTTAACCCTATGGAATCATTCTCTTAAAAATAAAATGCTTGGGCCGGCCCAGTGGTGTAGCGGTTAAGTTCGCACACTCCTCTTTGGCAGCCCAGGGTTTGCAGGTTCAGATCCCAGGCACAGACCTACACACCGCTCATCAAGCCATGCTGTGGTGGCATCCCACATAAAATAGAGGATGATTGGCACAGATGGTAGCCCAGCAACAATCTTCCCTTCACACACACAAAAAAAATTAAGAAAAAAAAATGAAATGGTATTAGAACCCTACTAGCAAGGTCCCAGGCAGGGACTTCTGAAATTTCACATTCTTGAAAATGAAACAGAATTGTATAGAAGCTTCAACTTGGAGGTTTTTTTTTACAAATCTACCACTTGTTATGGTAGATTTATGATCATGATGATGACCACAGACAATTCATTTAAACTATGTGAGCCTCTATTTCTTCATAAGTAAGAAGTATTTCTTCATAAATAACACAGGTTCATAGAATTATTATGAAAACTAAGAGATATAAAGTCTGTAGCACAGGACCCAGCACAATAGATGCATATTAAATTTTGTTTCCTGGGGGTGCCGGCCCTGTGGCCTAGTGGTTAAAGTTCTGTGTGCTCTGCTTCAGGAGCCCAGGGTTTGCAGGTTCGGATCCCAGGTGGGGTCCTGCTCCACTCATCAGCCATGCTGTGGAGGCATCCCACATACAAAGTGGCAGAAGATTGGCACAGATGTTAGCTCAGGGCTAATGTTCCTCAAGGGGAAAAAAAAAAGAGGAAGATTGGCAACAGATGTTAGCTCAGGGCGAATCTTCCTCACACACAAAAAAATTTATTTCCTTTCTCTTTGTTACCCTCTTGTGGTATTAAATTTAAGGTAAAATTTTACTAAAACTCAAGTGCTGAGAATAAAATTTCCCATTAAGAAAATGATTCACAGAAATATACTTGATCAACAGCTGACATAGGAACAAATATGTCATTTATCATTTTTCTTTTCTTGTCTTGACATGAATTGGCTAAAATAGTGCCATGCAGCCAACACCAATTTTTTTTATTACCACTCTTTTAAAAATGACTGACAGGATATTTTAGTTTATGTGTCAAGAAGAAAGAATAACTGGCTTTTCCAATTGACTGTCATGCTCCCAATCCATTTTCTAAAAGCCTGTCCAATTTGAATTTGTATTTTATTCATTTTGTCTTATAGCAGGAAAAAAGCTCTAATAAAATCAGTAACAACTTTCCTTTTGAGCTAAAAACTACTGTCCTTTGTCTTCTTACATTCTAGCGAAGGCTTATTAACTTCTCAGGCCTTGACTATAGTGTGTATTACCAATACTGGCCTCGAAAATAATCTGCTTCAGTGTGCACGGTAACATCAACTCACGACGATGTCAGGAGAGGGAAAGTGTGTGTGTGTGTACACACGGGCACATGCAGCCATGGGAAAATGGCATAGTTTTCTTGACCTAATTTTGGCAGCTTGAGAAGAAAACTGCTGGGGTTTGGAGTTGCTGCTCCAGGGAACTGAAGTGTGCTGAAGCTGACGCTTGGGCTTCTGAACCATTCTCTCTGGCAGTTACATATGTTCAGAAAATCATGGCTCTTTCTTGGCGAGACCACTTACAAATAATAGAAATAAACAAACTAAAAGAAATGACAATTCAACTAAATTAGAGAATATATAGTATTCATTTTTAAGAAAGTAAGGGAAATTTTTAAAAATTACCCTGAAAATCAACTATACATCAGATTTTTTTTATTGTGGTAACATTAGTTTATAACTTTATATAAATGTCAGGTGTACATGGTTATATATTTCGATTTCTGTGTAGGTTACATCATGCTCACCACCCAGAGGTGAACTGCCACCCAGCACCACACACATGAGCCTAGTCACCCCTTTCGCCCTCCTCCCTCTGGTGACCACCGATCCGATCTGTTTCTCTGTGTTTCCTTCTGGTTGTTTTTACAGCAGATTATTTTTTATGAAGAAGTGTGTCAGGGAAGTTACAGTTTCCTTTAGGATAAGGGGTAGTATGGTGACTTACTGTCTAATATCTAAAAGCGAGCTCTTTAAAATTGGACTGTCAGAGCTGATTGGTCAGGGTCCCACTTTCTAATGCGAAGTTCTATATTTGTTTTCTACCAGTAATATTGCCTCTCCTCCCATGCTTTTGTAGTTAAAGCAACAATAAAACATGTACAGGATCAGGGTCTGTCACTACCCTCTAATAGATCCTAAAAACTCAGTATGGATGTCTGTTTTTCATTCTGCATGTGCTCTGAATCCCAGAGAGTAAAGCCATATAACAGGGGACACACACCCTCCAAAATATGTTCAGAAGCCCACTGTTCCTCTCCCATCTTGACTGCAACTTCCTTCTAACTCTTCTTTTGTGCAAACCCCAGTGTAGTCGTGGATTTAATCCATGTCAGACTTGTTCTGAAACCAGACACGGCCATCCTGGCTCTGGACTGCTGCTCTAGTTACCTGGACGCCCAGGAAATGCTGTTGCTTCATCAGTTAACTGGCCCCAAAGGCTCCAAAAAAGCGATGGCTTTTTTTTTCAGTTCACAGGAGGGAAAACACTGCTACCAAATAGAATTTTCTCAATGTTTAGTTTTCCTCAGATACTTTTTCATATACCCTTACAGCCTACTATTTATCTACTGTGATAGCCGCATCACACTGATCCCTTTAGCCGTTCCTAGAACTACGGACACTTTCTCTTATACTCCTTTGTTGTTGCACTCACTAGTCCCTTTGCCTAAAATATCCCTTGCTCCTTCCTTACCTTCCCACCATTCTTGTTCTAGCAAAATCCTTCCCATCCTTCCAGTGACAGAATAGATGATGTTTAATCCCAGCCTCCTTTTCTGGCCATGCCTTCTATGACACCAGACTTGATTCAGATGTCCATCTCAGGTGCCTTCGTTGGACTAGGTGCACGCATCCGCTGTAGCATGACCCCTCTGTATTGTCACCACCTGCTTGCTATAGTTTTCAATAGGTGACAAATTCCAAGGCAGACACTGAGGGATAGTCTTCACGGTGCCCTCAAGAGCTAGCATTCATTCAGTAGCAGGGACATAGTGGTCTTAAGAGGTCTTTATTGAGTGGCATGAATGAGTGCTAACAGATGACAAAACAACAGAAGTAACAGCAGACAAATCTTAAAGAAAAAGCTGAAAACAATTATTGCGCCAGTTCAATAGCTTCTCTCTCCATAGATGCCTATGATTGTGATTTTTACACAGTATACAAATTGTATAATTATTTTCCCCATCCTTTTCCTGGAGAAAAAAACGCTCTAAATTTAATTTAAAACACAATTTCCTGGAATTCAACCACATAGATACGTTTTGCAAAGACTACCACCCCGTCCATCTCTTTTGCCTCCATCATCAGCTCTGTCCTGGGCACATTTCTTTCTGACTTGAGCTGCTTCTGTGACCTTTTAATACATAAGAAGTGACAGAAACAATGAGACTCTTTTACCTTCTTACCTCAGGCCTCTTACCTTCTTATGAGAAGATGTACTCTTACTCTTGTTCTCAACCTCAGCTGCAGTCTTCAGAAAGAAGAGGCTTCCAGGGTAAAACTAAGGGTTGGAGTTCTGTGAGATCGTCACCACAGGCGAGTAACACGCCTTCCTATCTTCTCTACTCCTCCAAGGAGCGAATTTCAAATAGGTCTCTGCATGTTGAGGATGCATGTTGTAATATGCCTTAAATAAAAGAGAGCAGTAAGTGTTATTGTTGTTTGTTCCTTTGGGGAAGAATTTATTTAAAGTTCAGTTTTTCTGTGTGAGCCTGGAGAATTCTCTTTAACTATTGTGAAAAGAGACTTTTATTGAAGTGCCCCTTTAGTTGACATTAACAATGGCTACCAATCTCACCCATTTAATGCACGCAAGAACTCTGACCTAGGGCACAAATAGCCATTAAGATGCCTGTGAAGGTCTAGAAAATTATTTCAGGAATGAGAATGGGAGTGGTGGTGGCAGTGGCAGTGGCGGTGCTGTGGTGGTAATGCTGACAGTGCTGGTGGCAATGGTAATATGGTAGTGGTAGTAACATGGTGACAGCAGTTGTAGAGGTAATGGTATTAGTGGTTGTCTTGGGTGGTGATAGTAAGAGTGGTGGTGGTGGTGGTGGCAGCAATGGTATTTGTGGTTGTTTGTAGTGGTGACGGCAATGGTGGTGGCAGCAATGGTATGTGTGGTTGTTTGAAGTGGTGACAGCAATGGTGGTGGCAGCAATGGTCACAGAACTCTTTCTGTTTAGTATGTTAGAGGCTCAGCACAAGACTAAGATGGGAGGCTTTTGAACAAGCCCCTGGCAACTCTTCTCCACGGATATCCAAGAGAAACTGAATAATCACTTAATACTAAGAAAAAGTCTTCCATTTATACAGAGGTAATATGGAGCCCAGAAATGTGGCTCAGGTCCTTTAGAATCATCTCTGCCTGAATGCCACTTGGCACCTGCCCTCCCCTGAGCCCTCAAACCACATGTATCACACTCTCATTCACCCCTTTCCTTTTTTGTGTATTTAAACCAAATGTCGTTTCCTCTGAGAAACCTCCTTGATAGCAACCCCACTGTAGTTCTCAGGGCTTCCCACTCATCAAGTCTTTATCATAGTTCTAGACTGCCTGCTTATCCGTCTCTCCAGCAAATAAAAAAGATCCTTGAAGACAGGCAAAAACCATGCTTTTTCATCCCTGTACTCCCAACATCTAGCACAGGGAGTGAAATCAATGTTCGTTGAACACCTGTGTGAGAGGAAGATTGACTTGTTCCTGTAAGACACCAGATTTCTTTGAAGGACTGGATCATGCCTTTTTCTTCTTAGGTTTCCCTGTCTGTCTTCCAGTGTTTTCTACATAGTAAGTTCTTCGTAATAGTGAAGGGAAAATAAATTCAAAAGATAGATTTAACATTCATTTGATGCACAAAGCAACACTGAAATAGGTAGAGATATTAATCTCCCAAGGTCCCAAGGTCTGTAACCTTCCTGAAACTCCATGGCGTTTCGATGCTGGTGAGCCCTAACTGTGTGAGAAGGGTGCTGACGTCCAAAGATGCCTCCCTTCAGCCACACGCCGTTTCAGGAGCGGAGCTCAGGTCAAGCCCAGGCCTTGTTAGGCCTTTTCTGCTTCTCCCTTCACAAAATCATGTTAACTTATACCTCATTCCTTTCTCTTCTTATGGGTCTTTTTTCATATGCAGTATAAAGTATTTCTAGAACAATTCTCCTCCAGCAAGACGTAGAATTAATAGTAGTTACACTATTTCTGTTTTTAGGACCCACCTCCTCTCCAGTTAAAGCAGGGGCAGTCACCTTAGAAAACAACACCTGCAAAAATCTAGAAAGAAATGATTTGGTCCAGATGGTAATGTTTGGCAGTTGCCAAAAGAGTCCTATGGCCAGAGCTTTAGGCCAAGTCAATTCCATCACACCTTTGCTTGGTGACAGGCTGAAAACAAGCATGATCAATCCCTAGAGTCATTCTGGTTTCTCTGATGCAGATTTTCACCCATTAGGGACCTAGTTCTGGAACCAGAGATCAAAACAACGGATCTTTATTATCCTTCACTGTTCCCTCTAACACTGCTTGCTCAAAGAAAAGGAGGTGAATGATTTCCAACTCGGGTTCAGCTCTCCTGAGAAGCTTGTGGTTTCATGAGTCTGAAAAAAGAACAGTGATTCCCAAGACAACTTTGTCTAATGGTGTTCATAGGATCCCCTGTCCCCAAAGCAGAGCTCTAAGAGCCATTCCTTCCAGGAGAACCGTTCAACCAGCAGCCAAGAGTCAACCTTGATAAATACGATTTTAATAAGTGCTAGAAAATCAGGAAATGCAGGCCCCTGGCTCTTGTGAGTTTTATCATAGTGAGTTCCCTACAGAGAGCTGGAGAAGAGCCAGGAATGTGTCGTCCTCTCCGTCAGAGCCCTGCAAAGCGTCGGTGTGGAAGGGACGTTCTCCCGTCAGGTACTACTGTATATCAAAGGTATCCCCCTCTTAGAGAAAAAGATGAAATTAATTCAAAAACAAAGAGAAGAGTCTGCAGCAACACTGGCAGATGATAAGGTTTATAAGCCAGCCCAAAGGTACTCGAAATCTACCATAAGGGAAACATCTGACAAAGAAAAATGTGTGCTGGCAACTTGTTTGATTGTAATTTCAGTGAAAAATTGAAACCATACTTCCATGGGATTAAGCTTCCCTCACTCACCAGAAAGAGGTCCCTGTTAACAAGTATGGAGCACGTTAGCATCCCCCGCATTCTCCTTCGGGCTGCTTGCCCATAAGTTTACATTGGGAGTTTGAGACAGGAGAAACCTCCTCAATGTGGCCAGAGGTGGTAGAGTTGGTTTTTAATACGTTGCGGACTAAAGTGGTTGCAATGGCAGCAAAAGTAAACATATGCCTTGCGGATGCAATATTAATTAGGGGAATAAATAAGTCCAAAGGGGTTCCCTTCAGAGAGATAATAAGACTCTCTTGAAGGTATGCAAAAGAGGCCCATAGTTTACCTGTCATGGTGTAACGATGCCGAATAGGGGGAAGACACTTTAATTTTCCCAGTGGGTGTGTATCTTTATTTTTCTCATTCACAAGAGAGTAGGCTAGGGAAAATGGTCATGCTTATGGTTTGCAAAAGAACAAATGTTTGGTAAGAAAAAGCAACGCACTAGAACTGGAGAGGTCCTTCACAGTATGTGTTTGCAAAGAATACCAGAACTGCTTACAGCATGTAAAGATGCCACAGAGTCAGTCAGAGCAGTGATAATGCGTTTAAAAACGAATGAGCTCAAGAGCAGTATACGGCGAATACGGCTAACAGTTTAGCAAATGCAAGGGCTGGAAGAAGGAATTATTTTGTCCACATTTTCATTTATTTATTTTCACCAGGACTGTTGCCTTTCCTGCATTACAGTCCCCATCTGCCTCTGTCACAGTGCTCTGACCATCCAGAGAAAGATGGATATTGACCTCCTGGGACTAGGTGTTTCACAAAAAAAATCAATCCTTGGGACAGAGAAAGGATTCTCTACTCTGATGAAGTTATTTCACTATATAAAGTACTGAATTATTTCGGAATGTTTGTAAGAGAAACACACATCTGGTGAGAGGAAGGAGAATGCATCTGAAGTTTAATCCCTTATGAAAGGGCCTCAGCCAAAGAATCTTCTATAGAGCGTGTGATGAAATACACTTTCCCTAGGTAGCTCTAATTATGCAGAAAAATGTCTAATGCTGCCTTGCCATGTCTACATTTTATGTAAGTTCCCAAGGGCAGGAGCCATGTCTTTTAAACTTTGACTCTATTACCTGGTATAAGATCGATGCTTAGTAGAGTTAAATAAAATACCCGTTATAGAAACTCTGCTTTCATACAGTTCAAGAGAAAGCATGTAAAAATAAGAAGCCAAGAAAAGGTCAGTAAGCTTGCCATAATCAAAGAAAAAGCAGCTAGGTTTTAGATATTACATCAAGCCTAATTCCAGCTCCACGAAGGTCAATCCAGACCTGCTTGCCTTATTCATTTCTTCCATCAGGTGGTCTGATGGCTTGAAATTATCACTTTATTTCCAAAGAGGCTAAGTTACTATGAGTGTGGGCACTAGGACAACTCACGCCAATAATTCCAACAGCTTTCTGCCCGCACAGCACCTCGTCCGGCCATAGTGGAAACGAGAAATAATTAATCACATACCTCTGAATGTACAAAGGTAAAAGTTATGCAGGGCCAAAGATCCTGTATGTGTCTGTCTATCTCATCCGACTTTATTTAGAAACTATTCTTCAAAGAAGGAGGGGCTATTCTTCCACATCTTTATTGGTCCCAGAATGCAGGGCACAGGCCTTGGTAGGAGGCAGTTTCTATTATAAATGGCCAAAGGGAGAGTCTCTTGCCTCTGTGAAGAGCCATGACAGCTCTACTAGCTTACGATGTTGCCTGGGGGCAAACAGACGAGTGAAAACTCTGTTACCTTAGATAACTGAAACCAAGGAAAAGGGCTATTTTACAAAAGTTCTGTTTTTCCAATGTACTAAAGAGCAAACTGAAGAAATGGAAAAAGTCAGAAACACACAGAATACATGGTCTCAAAATGTGAGTCCTGGATCAGCATCATCACCATCATCAGGGAACCAGCGCCAAACGCAAATTCTTGGGCCTCTTCCCGACCTGCCGAATTAGAAGCTCTGGGCTGCAGCCGCTTTGTCACATCCTCTAGATGGTTCTGAAACATGCTAAAATTTGAGACCCACTGCTGGAGACTAAGGATGAGTGCAGAGAAGGGGACCTGGGGAACAAAATGCCTGCCAGATGGTGAGGGTTTGAGAAAACAGCAGTAGCAAAAAGGTGGAACAATATAGAGGACAGCTGCAGACAGTGGGCTGACTCATAAAAAACACTTTAAAACTGTAATCAAAGGCACATCCAGCCTGATCTACGAGACTTCTCTCACAGCATCCAGTACCTTTTGAACTTCTGCTTCAGTACTGAGTGAGACCCAAAGTTTTAGAATTAGGAGGAAAATGACATTTTACTTATTTAGGGACTATATCTAAATAAATATCAAGTATTAGAAACAAAATAAAGATCAAGTAAACCTGAAGGTCAGTTTGGGGAAGACTCAAGATATTTTTCTTAACAGATTCTAGTTTAGTATCAATAATCCTTCTCCATAAGTGAATAGCTTTAAACTATAAGATAGAGTTTTAGTTAGGGAGAGCTGTTCAGCAATGGGATGGTTGACACAGATAAAGTACACAATCTTTCTCTTGGAGATCTTAAATTGATTCGTATCTTCTGGGATGGTTTACTAGCAATCCAATTAAATGGCAAAGAGATACATTACTTTTAAATTTATCTTCTGATCTCAGTCCATGAGTTCATAAATATAATTTTCATAAAAACGTTTATTTCCCAGCCCAATATAATTTGGGAATAAACAGGTCTTTTCCTTCCAAAGAGAGCCCAAAAAGTATTAGATGGTTGCTGAGGGAACAAGCATTTAAGAGACAGAAAATATATTTTCAAGGAGTTTTAATGTCTAAGTGCTTGAATTAGAAGACTTAAGTCTTACTCCATCTTTTTCTGGCTGTTTTCTTGAGAAAAGTCCCTTAACCTTTCAAAGACACATTCCTTATTTTTAATATGAATATAATCAGTCTTTTCTCAAAAGGTTACGAGCTTAGATGGGATAATGCATAGCAAAGTCTTGATAAAGTTTAGTTTGTGTGCTATATGAACAAAAGGTATGACTTTTAAAAATCTAGAACATTCATCTGCTTTAAAATGTGTCCTTTCAGAGTCACTTAACATAGGAATCTTTGAAGTATATATTGCCAAGATACACAATATTCCCTGAGGAATCTTTAATTTTTTGCCAGTGAATTAAAATTTTTACTTTCTGTTTAATATAGTGGAAGCTTAGTTTCTTCTGAATACCTTAGAAAAGTTTAATTTTTTTTTTTTACATATTAAGTTTACTGGAAGTTATCATTCATTAAGACTAGCCAAAAATGACCCTGGTGAGTATTGTTTGGGATTGTGTTACTACAGGGAGCAATTGTAGAGGGAAATCCCCAGCCTTCCATGTTCACTTACGAACTTATAGCCCAAAATAGAGATGCTCAAAGAGCTGTTTTGCAAACTCTCTGTCCTTCCAATATGTCAAAAGGCCAGGATGATGTGGCCTCTGGGAAAAGAAGACATTTCGGGAGCTGTAAACAGAACAGCAGCCTAACTGCTCAGGCGACCTGGTTCCAGGCTGATCATCACACACAGATTTGCCAACAAGAGCGAAGGGCTGAAGATGCAACACAGCTGAGAAACGAGTTGACGTGATGAACTTTCGTGTGATGTTCAGAATACAATGAAATACAAGGAGACCTGAGAGATTCATTGAGATCTATTAAGCTTTTACCACTCTTTAGTCCCTAAAGACAAGAATCTAGTTATCTGAAAAATGTGACATACAATCTGGTTCACTCATTCTTCCAATGCTATTGCGACTTCTAGGAGGAACGCTGCTCCCTGCCCTGTTGTGCTGGTGGCAATATTTGATGAAATGTTCTATTTAAGAGGGATGTGCTGGGGGGAGGGTAATTCTCCTCAAATAGCCTAACATTTCTATGAAATCCTGGCTTTGTAGTCTATGCTGTGGAATTTTACAGAGAAGAAGGATTTTTTTACATTGGGAGAAAATCCAGAATAAAGAGACTTGGGAAATAGGATTTGCTTCACTCCGCAGGGACAGCGGCAGAGCTTTCCACGTGCTGAGCGCTCTCTCTTAAGTGGTCACATATGGCTTGCATCTGTTCATCTCTTGAGCACCCTATATAGTTAGCATTTCATTGCTTAGTGAATTGCCCATTAGTTTTAATTATACAAGAAAAACACCTTTCCAAAATGGCACCTTTTGTGTTGTGAGCCCTGGATCCGTCACTAAGGCAGACCATTCCGCGGCTGTTTCATATAATGGGAACCTCCTGAGAAGAGTGCTAATAATCTGACCCCACTTACCTCATTCAATAAATATTCATCGCACACATATTAGGCTAGATGCTGGATACTTCTTCTTAGTTCTCTCTCCAATTCTCACTGTTCATTGAACATTCACTCTGCACTGATATTCCTTTGACTATTAATTGGAAATTTTCAAAAAGATCATCAATTTCTACTTAAAACACTACTATTTATTTATGCCCCCTAAGTGGAAATAACACAAGATGAAGAGGAGGGAGCCTGGGTTCTAGTCACAGTTCTGCCACCAGCTGATCTTAGCCAAGTCCCTCAACCTCCGTGGGCCTGGAGCTCTCCTGAGTGAAGTAAGCAGTTGGACTGGAAAACCACTAAGGTCCTGCCCGTTTAGGACTTGTGGGTTCTTCCAAGAACAGTGCATTGTCATGACGTAATGGGAAATCTCTGCCTCCAACGGCAATTAGGCTCCTGACAATTCCCACGCAATATTTTGATTTCAGCATTCACTGACCGAGAGGAGGCATGGATCACTTGGGGTGAGCACCACAGCCATAGACTCAGGAATTATTTTATCATAAACTATGACAACTACTTCCTCCATGTCCGATGTCAACTCAATGTCTCACCTGAAGGTTAACTGTTCTGAGGTCTGACTGTCAGCTGCACACAGTCTGGTCGAACCTCTGATGGCAGGCTCCAGCTGTCGCCAGAGAAGCCCGTTAAAAAATGTCTGAATCCTGGAGGTTGACTTTGGGGCTTTCCGATCCAGAGGGAGGTATCAAATATTATGTGGATCAGGCAGTAAAACCCTTCCCAGCATAGTCAGGTTTCCACTGTAATTGTGACGGTATAAACTGGATAGTAGCTGCCTCAGTGCTCTGTGCCTCCATCTGGAAGCCTAGAATGGTCCAAAAGGCCCAAGGGGAGCGAACTTTTGAGGCTCTCCCAACTGCAGAGCACACAGCTGCCCCACCCCTCGCAGGCTGCACACAGCTGCTCACTGCCTGCTTACCCTGCGCAGAACTTCTCCTGACGTATACTAAGTCAGCTGCTCTCGGATTGCGCGGCCAGAGAGAAACTGAGAGGGGGACAGAAAAGTGAGAGAGAGGGGAACAGGGTCATCATGTCCTGTGTCCCCAAGGGGTCATCATCTGGGTAAGTTTGAGAGTTCTTTCAGGACTCTCTACAGATTCCCTGCATCTCTCAGGATGAGGGACGTGGTCCTCATTATGCTCAACAACAATGGCTGCAGCAAGACGGAAATCAGGTCTGTTCCTTGTTCAAGTCCCGGGAGAGGAATTTAGTCCTAGTCTCCTCCTCGCCTCTCACAGGCCGTCCACCCAGGGCCCTTCCCATGGCTCAGGCTCGCCCTCCCTCCTGATTCAGAGTCTGCCTGAGTGCCTGTCCCTCTCCATGTCTGGGTGTGCTTCTATCTGTGTACTCTCCCTATGGCTCCGTGTGTGTCAAGTGTGTCTCTGCTCTCTGCCTCTGATTTCCTTTCAGTCTCTCTGGGTCTGTGACGATGTGTGTTTCTGTGTTTCTATTTCTCTCTCCCAGCCTCTTCCCCAAACCATTCCTAATCAAGTAGAAAATAAAACAAATTTAACGTTTCTGAAAACACATCAACCACCGATATTTTTACCAATTGCGCTCTTAAAAGTTACAGTGTCAATACAAATGAATATTGAAAAGGAAAATCGATGGATGTGCTTTCTTCTTGGTGTCTTCCATTAACGAAGGGGTCAGGGAAGATCTGGGAATTCTCTTCTCAGCTTGGGAACGTGTAGTTGGGAGGGCTCGGATGATGGCCAGCAGGGATCCCCAATTGGGCCTCAGCCCCTGGAACCCCTGAAGATGACACTCAGCCCTGGGAGTGATCGTGTGGGCTCAGCTGCAGCCCGCTCACCTCCCACGGAGCGCGCTCCTCCAGGGCTGGTGCTCATCTCTGCTCTGGGACGCTTCCAGAGGGGGTTTTTACTAAGGCAGCAAAACGGACTTGTGGAGATGGCGAGCTTTAGAAATTAAAAGACCTAGATTCATAATCCTCGCTCTGCCTCCTGCTCTGTGGCACTGAAGTTTTCACCTAATTTGTCCTCTTTTTCTTTATATAGGAGTGGAGAGGACACTAACCTGCCTTATGAGCATTTCAAGATTCTTGGGACAGAGAAACGACAATGCATCATGTATGGGTTATTGCTTTTTGTGTTTGTTTAGTTTGGTTTGGTCTTTTTGTTTATTAATTCTGAGGTGCAGTAGCTCTCAACTGAAGCAATTTCGTTTCCCAAGGGACATTTGGCAATGTCTGGAGACAATTTTGGTTCTCACACTGGAGGGGCATTACTGGAATCAACTGGATAGAAGCCAAGGATGCTGCTAACATCCTACGACGCACAGAGCGCCCTGCCACAGCAAAGAACCATCTGTTCCAAGCAAGACCAACGGTGCCGAGGGTGAGAGACCCTGGTTGAGAATGATCACCCTTACAGATTAGGCTTATTATTGTTTCAGCATGCTATTTTCCTTATTTTTTTAACATCCCTTTTCTATAAATGTACTTTACATATTTTATGTCCTTGGCACACCTATGAGGACATTTCATGCCCTAAGCAAGGGAAGCTGGCCACTGCCTATCCTTTGGCCTTCCAGCCCCTTCATGTCCGTCCCTTTGATGAAGCCTTGGGCAGTAAAGATAACACACCAGATGAAGTCATGCAAAGATTCAGAAGCCCAAATTCCTCCTCACAATATAGCAATTACAGGCCCAGCAACAACATAGCTAAGTTTATTCATTCCACCATTTGAAAATGATTAATTAATTTGGGCAAGGCACTAAGATAAGCACTGGGGAGACAGATTTAAAATAAATCCAGATATGATCTCTGCCCCCACGAATTGACAGTTAAGTAGGAAAAACAGAATGTAAACCAAAAAAATCACACAAATAAATATATAACTACAAATTATAATAAGCGCAATAAACGACAAGAAATAGACTCTAAGAATGAAAATAACTGAAGGACCCTTCTGGAAAAGGTGGGAAAGGGGTGAGAAGGGTCAAGGAAGCCTCTCTGACTGACAGCTGAGCTGTGACCTGAGGGAAGGCAGGAGTCAGCCAGGCTGGGAACCTTTGGAGGACAAGGAGGAGCAGGTGGCAGGGTCCTACGGTCAGAACAAGCTCGAGCCATTTAAACACTTGAGATTTTGGGATATCTTTGTCTCCTTGTTTTGCATCATCCAAATTCTTTATGAAAACCGCCAACTGCAAATGGCTACATTTTTCATTTTTTTCAGACAATCTCACAAATTGATAAGGATTCACTCACTGCTATTTTTCTCCTTGTTTGGAAAATATGTAATCAAGGTAAGTATATTAATGAAGGTGATATGATTATGAATAATAAATCCAAAATAAAGGAATTTAGAGGCTACAAAATTGTCTAGCTAGAAGACAATTTTACAGTTGAAAACAAAGAAATAAGTGACTTGCATGAACATCACTTCTGAAGTTATCTGTAGGGCTAGGACTAGAACCAAGGTCTCCTGACTCCTAGTCATCATCTTGTCCTTATTTGGGATGCAGCCCCCAAATATTGCCGTAGCATCATGAAATGCCACAAAGCGTTTCTACCAAATGTCTCATGTTGCCAAAATCAGAGACTGATACTGTTATATATTGGCCACCAGTCTGATCCACTGTGGAATTTTTTTTTAATTGTTTTTACTCAAAGACTAATAAACAAATTAACCAAGCAGGAGATCCTCTTCAAATAAAAAGGTCAAAATATGACCAGATTAATAAATATTGAATTTTACTTTTTAATGGACAAAATAATATACAGAAGAAAATATATTTTAAAAAATTTCTTATGTGTGCTAGATGTATTTCATTTGGACTTTTAGATCCACTCTTCACCCTTCTTAAACTTGCTTATGCAAGGTGCAGGGGTGGGGGAGGTGGTAGCAGAGCTGGTTTGTGTACACTACATCAGCAGGTTGCCCTCTGGCGTTTGGTTGGGTTTGATCAGTTGGGTAGTATTGGCAGGAGGGAGGGAGAGAAGACATCAGGATATTTATTAGCTCAGGCTGCCTCCATGCACGATGTCCAGAAGATGGCTGTATCCCTTTAACCAAAGTCTCCTGTCAAGCTTCCAACTCCACAAAGTGTTCTCTCTCTCTTTCTCTCTCTCTCTCTCTCTCCCTCAGATCCACTAACCACCTCCCCCATCAGGTCTAGGGATGATGGTAACAAAGCCCCCCATTTACTCACTGGTCCTAGACTACCACACCATCCTTTTGGTTTCCTTGTACTACTGAAGCCACACATTTGTAATCGTCTTTTTAAAAAAATCTCCCCAAATTACCCTAACTTAAACTTGCCATCTGTTACCCAGGTAACTTCGATGTGCCATCCCCAATAGTGAACAGGAAGGAGGTACTGTTCATCACTAAACAACTTCCTTGTTAGCTGGTCACATATATGAAAGTCACAAGGTACAAAACAGTCCTTTATTTCAGATTTGAGCTGGAGTTCCCCGGAGTTCCACAAGGAGATGAGGCTTCAGCATCATCTTCTTTACTCTAGTCATTCCCCAGCTCCTCAATGGGCCAGCATCTTTGACTAACTCTTTAGAAGCCTCCCCAGTCCCCTTTCGACCCTGCTACAGGTTGAATTGTGTCCCCTCCAAAGATGTTGAAGTCCTAACGCCCAGTACCTGGGAATGTGACCTTATTTGGGAATACAGTCTTTGCAGGTGTAATCAAGTTAAGAAGAGGTCATATTCAAGGTGTTCCCTAATCCAACATGAGTGATGTCCCTATAAGAAGAGGAGGAGAAAGACAGACACGGGGAAAACACCAGGTGACAGCAGAGGCAGAGAACGGAGTGATGCGTCTACAAGCCAAGGAGCGCCAAAGGTTGCCAGCAACACCAAAGGCTGGGAGAGCTGCACGGAACAGCTTCTCCCTAGAGCCTTCAGAGACAGCGTGACCCTGACGACATCTTCATTTCAGACTTCTAGCCCCTGAGCTGTGAGAGAACACATTTCTGCTGTTTCAAGCCACTCGAGAGGCACTGTTAAGATAGCCCTAAGAAACTAGATCCCTCCCCCTTTTCCCTTTTGCAGGTCTTATCTATCCCTCCACCCTTCTTTTCCCTGCCCCACCCCCAACTCCCACCTCACCTCCTCAGTCCCTGCCAGGACCGGCTGCTGAAGGACACGCCAGTTCCCCTCCACGTGAACTTGGGGCACTTAGACCCCATGTGTGGACAGCTACCAAATAATCAGACTTTTCAAATGACCAGATGGGCCTTTGCACATTTCCAGTTCCAGAGGAAAATGTGTAGAAGTGGAGATGACGAAACAATTTTCAAAGGCAATACACCAATTTTGTTAAACTTGCCTCTAGCACAGTAGTTCTCATCCAGGGGTGACTTTGCCTACCCTCTGCCCCCAGCAGTGTGTAGAGACCTTTTGGTTGTCACAACTGCAGGACGCTGCTCCTGGCATCTAGCGAGCAGAGCCCAGGGATGCTGCTCAACATCTGCAGGGCACAGGACAGCCTCACAACCGAGGATTATCTGGCCCCAAATATCAAAGGGCCAATGTTGAGAGGCTCTGCTCTAGCACATGTCCTAAATATGTTCAATTCCTTGTCTATTGAAAGGGGGAATGTGTTTGACTGAGAAGTGATGAGAAATAATCCACGAAGCAGCACGAAAATACTTGTTTCATTTTGTTCTATTTCAGTGAAGTTCTTTAAGAATCAATGTTGTATTCCATAAAAAGTAAAATTATGTTTGTTTCCCTTTCAGCCAGTGCTACATTGGCACTATCGTGCAAAATTCCACTTTCATGTCAGCACACATTTAGACTCTAGTCTGGAACTAAACTTGCAAACTTTTGGCACAAAGCAGTTTCCTTTTTGGTGCCCTGTTGTCATGATATCTGCTTGCCTCTGAAGTGTATAGCTCAGTCATGTGTTTCAGTTCCTACGTCCTGTCTCTACTCTCTTTACCCTTCCCCATTACTGGTTTTACCGAATTTTGCAAGCTTGCGGACTTTTAAAAAAATTAATCTGCAAAAATTCTAAAACATTCTAAGGAAACCATAACTAACATAAAACACGTAGGTGTTTTTCTCCAGTCATTCCATAGGCTGAAACTGAGTCTAAAAGAATCTACTTTTACTAAATTTGAATAATTTAGGTTAACCCCTCTTCTTTCCAAACAGTATTTCAGACCATCTTGCCACACTGTCACTCTCATCTTTCAAGGCAGAAACACTTGTTATGCAAATATTATTTTGCCAGAGATTTCTTGATATATGTGAATTTCCACTTTTGTCCCTTTGTAATCATTTGTATTTGATCTTCCTAAAGGGTTAAAGCTAGTAGTGGGCATTTTGGGTGACCATACGAGTTCCACCTTAGAGGCAGGAAGACCCTGGCTTGTAAGTGTGATTGATGAGTTGGGAGAAAGTAAAATGATGATGAGTTACTTACTTTCTGTTTTGTCATTGGTTTGTTGTATAACTTTGGGATATCTGACTCATCTTTCAATGGGATGACTTATCTTCTCATACTCAAAATAGAGATGAAACAAGCATCAAAAGGTACTTAGTGTACCATCTATTATAACTGGACCGTGAACACACCTGCTGTGCCATTGATGTGGTTCATCTTCGGCTCAGACCTTAAGGCTGAAGCATGAAAGGGCTGATTTGGGATAAAACATCTCTCCTCACACTGAGTCAAAGCATATATGGACCCAGTAGTCATAATGGGATGCAGTTAGAATGTAGGAAAAAGGGAATATCCTACCTAATTTTACCACAAAGTTTGAGATATTGGTTTTAAAGCTGTCTGAGTAACTTCAAATGTCTCAGCTCACTGAGAAGACTGCTATCCCTTTTTGTCACGTTGTCACATTGTCAAATGCCAAGACGAGTTTTCTAGGAAACAATCATGAGAAATCTGTTTCTTTTGGGAGAAAAGATTTAAATATCTGGGTGAGGACTCGAGTGAGACATTTTTTGAATAAATATGACAGATTTGGAAGCCAAAATGCCACCCTCAATACTAACAATACTACTTTAATAATCACTGGAGTGGTCGCACTGTTGTGGGAAAGACACTAGAACTTAAAATATGTGGAAGTCTGCTCAATGTTAAAGTAATGCATAAGGTTAAAAAATGTGGCTTGTACATAGTAGAACAAAACAATTAGCCCAGGAAATTTTGTTCAATATGTAAGTTTAAATGCATAGGTTGTTGATCCACAAAATATGCAGGGATGACTACAGTTCATCAAATCAAAGACATCATCAATTGTAGGACAAACCATTATTTTAAGTACAACTAAGAAAGAGATGGGTCGCCTGGTGGAACAGCGGTCAAGTTTGCATGTTGCACTTGGGTGGACCGGGGTTTGCCAGTTCGGATCCTAGATGCAGACCTGTGCACCACTTGGCAAGACATGCTGTGGTAGGCGTCTCACATATAAAGTAGAGGAAGATGGGCACGGATGTTAGCTCAGGGCCAGTCTTCCTCAGCAAAAAGAGGAGGATTGGCAGCAGATGTTAGCTCAGGGCTAATCACCCTCAAAAAAAAAAAAAAAAAAAGAAGAAGAAGAAAGAGAAAAAAAACACTCCCAATTCATCGTAAGACCATTATTTTAAGCACAAGTAAAAAAGAAAATTGATGCCAACTGAATTATGACGTAATGTTTTCTAACTGCATTGAGTGTAAGAATCATCTCAGTTTCAGTTATATTAAAATGTGAAAAATGGGCATCTTAGAATGGATGAAATGCAGTATCTTTTTTCTTTTGAGTATCTAAAAGTACCTATCTTTTTCTTTTGAGTTGTAGTGCATGAAAATGTGTTGAGAAACTTTTTTTCTTCTCCTTTCCCATTCCTTCTTTTGAGGCTTGGAATATTCCGAACCTTGGAAAACAAGAAGGAATTTAGTGATGCTCTTCCAGGTAGAAGAAGAGACAACAGAAACTCTTGGCATCCTCCCGAATGGAATTTGTAAATGCCGCCTGCTACCAGGGAGGCCTTTGCTCCTGGCAGACTAGGAGGCCATTAGGGGAGACATCTTTGCTAGAGTGCTTACTGTCAAGCAGATTGCTTGGCATTGTACTATCTGGCCAACTGTTGGCTAATTTTAACTAAGATTTACCCATTAAACCAGTTAAGGAGAAGAAAAAGATATCACTTCAGAATCTTGGTGCCATAAAATGACCCATAAAAAGAGGTTCTGGGATTCAATATGCTTAGAAATGTTACCAAAAAAGGCTGCTCTTAAAAATCCATAATACACATTTATCTATTAAAGCCTCTAAAGACCAGTTGTTTAAGGAATGACTGTATAATTGAATACATGGATGGATGGATGGATGGATGGATGGATGGATGGATGGATGGGTGGATGGATGGAGGGATGGGTGGATGGATGGGTGGGTGGATGGATGGATGGATGGATGGGTGGATGGATGGATGGAGGGAGGGATGGAGGGAGGGATGGAGGGATGGGTGGATGAGTGGATAGCTTGCTGTCAAACTGGCATAACTATTGTTTAAAGTAATCACAGTGGTATTTTATAGTCTCTATAAAGTGTATTTTGTCATATTACAATTTTCTAGAAGTTATCTTTGTTTTATGAGTATAAAATTACGTTTATCTAGGGCTTCTATCTGCATGTGACACGATTTTCTAAAACTAATAGAAAGTTGATAGAAGTGGATTCTAGGAGTTGAAATGAATTTAAGGTGATCCTTCCATCTCTAAACAAATTGCATAACTAATATTTGTTCTTCCTCAATATTCCTGCGTTGCTTTTCTCCAAGGATCTGTCTTGTGCATGAGAAGGGATAGTTGGTTCCAGCTCTAAGTTCTGTAACTATAGTATTTTAAGGTAAAATGGATTATGGACCAGAGATATCAATAGCAAGGCTTCTGCTTGTTAATTAGATGTGGAAAAGAAAAGGATAAGCTTTGGACTATTTAAATAAGAACCATCTGTTTAGAGGAGTCCTGGGCCATGATGGTCTTATAATTTATAGATAGTTTAAAAAATATTTCACTAAGTATTACATAGTATTACATTGATACCACTTTTCTTAGAAAACAGTTAGTATAGTTAGAAACCTCCAGACATTAGTTTCCTATGGCTGCTGATACATTACCACAACCTTAGGAACTTAAAACTATAGAAATTTAATCTTTTACTGTCCTGGAGGACAGAAGTCCAGAATGAGTCCAACGAGTCTAAAATTAAGGTGTTGACAGGTCATGCTCCCTCTGGAGGCTGAGGGGAGAATTCTTTCCTTATCTTTTCATGTCGCGAACAGCACTGTTTGCGTTCCTTGGCTCGTGGCCCCTTCCTCCATCTTCACAGCAGCATCACAGCGTATTTCTGTCTGTCCCTGTCTTACCTTCACAGCAACCACTGTTTACCAAACAACTAGCCAAAGTCATACCAAACCTAGCCAAGCTGACACATAAAATTAAACACCATGGAGGTCACTGATAAAATTGAGAAGTTTCGACAGAGTATTATTCACTGCTATATCCCAACATCTTAGAATAGTAGTTAGCTCAATAAATATCTGTTGAATAAATGGATTTCCTACTTTTTTCCCCTTAAATATGATACCCTCACTTGAACCAAATTAGATAAAATGTGCCAAAAGGACAAAAATATTTTAAGAGACGTCTTTTTATTTTGGTTTGTAAAAACACACAGAAGTTGAGGAGTAGTAGAAATTATTTAAAAATTGGTCAATCAAAAACCAAGAAGATAATTCTATAATCAAGTATGACTGATACATAATACAAATCATCAAATAATTCTAAAATATTTTTAAAAGCCACATTTTATATTTTCTGGTTGCACTCTTGTATTACAATAATTAGGATTTTAGGACTTCTTTTTATATATCCTGTCTCTGGAAAACTTGAAAATAAAGATAGCAGCCACTGATGGCTTCCCAAATACTGGAGAAATAGCTCTCAGTGAGATCCATAGATAAGTAAGTATCTTCTTTGGTGACATCTAGCAGATTTAATTTTGCTTCCCATTGAGTTTTTGCCAGAATTGTTAACTTACCAAATAGAGCAATTTCACTCTTTTTATCCCTTCTGAGTAATCACTGTCTGGTAACATCTGAACCCCCAAAGTCATCATTCTCATTGAGTGACTAGCTTCCTGATACCATCTGGCTTTTTACATTCCAAGAGCTGGGCTTTCCACAATGATTTTCAGATTTTTAAAAGGTCTTTAAATGAATACGACTTTGTTTATTTCCTTTCTTAATCTAATTATGCTTGGTTGAGTTACCTGGTTTATTGGTACAATATTGATTATTTTAGCACAGCCTAGATAGAAAGAGTGTTTATGGATTACAATTTAAGTCCCTAAATTAGCCAGACTGAAGGTACGTGGTGAAGTAAAAATAGTGCACTTCGAACATTCCAGCTCTCATTACAGCTTAGTTTCATGCTATAATTTGTCAAACTATTCAAGCAAGATGGTTTTTCTCTAAATGCAACATTGCTACAAATTATTATAATAGTTGTTTCTACTAAAACAATGATTTTATATACTTTGAGAATGCTTAGATTAGTTATTTCCACCATTCAAAAATGATTCAAAAGAAAATCCTATTCACAATTCATCAATTCAAAAGAAAATCTCAGTTTATCAATTAGTCTTTTCTGAGAAAGAATAATTTTGACTCTGAAAATTATGTGCTACTGATATTAGGTTAACCATTCTTTGTATTGAAATGACACATAGCATTCTTCCAAAATTTTAATTTGTCACTTAATGTCCATTGGTGATATAGTTTTAAGAATTAAAACAAAACAAAACAAAAAAATCTCCTCTAGATTATATCTATCTTCTGAAAAAAAATCAGAGATTTCTTTTTTCACAGTGTTTTTTGCCAAGATCTTCAAGACCTGGGACTATGCCTTATTGCACAGTGTTTGGCACATATTAGCCATGAAATAGATGGTTATTGATTGAATATGTAAGCGAAAAAATGAGCACATTAATGAATGACTTCATTATGCATCAAAATTGGCTCCAAACTTCTTGATGGTCAAGACAAGAAGGAAATGTGATAGGCTATAAAATTTTCAGCGCCTAAGGGAAGAAAGAATATCAAGTGAAATTTCCTTGATATTTCTCCCCGCCCACATGCTGTTTGCATTTGCTCACTTTTCTCCCTCCCTCTCTGTCAGCAGAACATGAGAATCTCTTCCTGTGTAAAGGCTAGTCTGCTAGAGACTTGGACCTTATTCATTCACCTTTTTGCTGTGATTCTCTAACTGGTCTCTCTGGTTTCACTCCTGCCCTCCTATGGCGCATTTTCAACAGAGCAGGAATTCTGTTAAAATCTAGGTTGGGTCACAGTATTTCTCTGATCAAAACCTTTAAGAAAAGGTTTTTTTTTTTTTTTCAGTTTTTTTAATCCAATTGATCCAGCAAGTG